TAATTCATTAAAAATACAGACAAATTAGGTTATGTGACAAGTATTATGGTGATAAAATCTTTACAAACGAAACTTTAATACAGCGAGAGACAGAAAGTCCGCTCAAACTCCGGTCGGCCTCTTCACTCGAGCGGGACAGAGAAGTTAAAGAAACGGGACAGAGAGAGCCCTGTATGCTTCACCGTCTTTTGTCTTTACTCGAGCTGGCCTTAAAGATGCGGGACTCAGTGAGCCTTCTCCGCCTTTCGTCGGATCTCCTGTCTTCGTCTGACCGGGCCATAAAGATGCAGGACACAATGACAAAGAGTTAACAATAGTCACTTATAATGCAAAAAGCCAACAATACATTTTAACAATTCGTTACCTATTGTTAGAATATATTGTAACGTATTATGATCCCGTCATATTTTTACGTCACATGTTACGTAAAAATAATCGGTTTGAAATATTTCAGAAAGGATTATTTTATTAAAATAATATTCATTAGAAAGAGGATTACCTTAAGTTTTTTAAGTTAAAATAATGCTTTTTTTCTTAATAAATAAAATATTAGAAATGTCAAATCATTCATTTATTCTAATGTTATCCGTATTTTTGAAAATTCAAAGAGGAATTTGTAATGATTGTGGTCCTTTGCACTCCATTACCTGGAGTGCAAAGGATTTCGTCGAAAATTTCAGAAATTTTCGACGAAAGGTGCTTAAGCTTTAAAGTGGGTGAATAAATTCGTGCTTCTCACACACAGTAACATCCATACATACAGAAAGAATCCCAGTGGTTTTGTATTTCTCGACGTTTCAAGGTCCCGACCCAAAAAATTTAAAGATATTGGGTGAATAATTTTTTCACCGATCTCCATACTTTTCCTCTGTTATATATAACATAGCCGAGAAAATAAAAACAAGCTTAATTTTGTGAGAACTCGGACTTTTACAAAAATCTTTTCTCGATTTCATCATACATATTTTGACAACTAACGTCATTGTTTATCATCAATCCNTATTCCTCCGGTAAACGCATTAATAATAATTCGGCATGCTCCTGATCATCGATTACACAACCGATTTTCCTCAACTGGTCAATGAGGGTTTGTATTTTGTTAATATAAGCAGCCATACCTGAACATGTGTTAAAATCCATGGATTAAAGTTCCCTTTTTATTTGCAGCCTTCTCAGAATACTCTTATCTTCGTAGAGATTTGCTATTGTATCCCATGCTGCCTTTGCATTTGTACAGTGTTGGATATCGACTTTAACATGGTTTCCAACTGTCAGGGCTATCGTTCCTAACGCCCTTCGATCACAACTTTTTTCCTTTGCCATAGGTTCTCTATCTGTTACTGGCGTCTCGATCGCTGCCCACAGATCTTCCTTCATCAACAGCATTTTCACGTTGAATTGCCACGATGATAAATTGGATGAACCGTCCAGTTTTTGAAAGTTGACGAAACCTTCCTTTGTGAACATATCTCCATCTCGCACGTTGTCTATCGGATCCCACCAAATCTCAGATAAATCCAGTACCAAATCGAACAAAAAACTATAACTGTCCTTGGTTATTTGGAAGACATAATCTGGTCCTGGGAAGACATTTCTGGGCCCATAACCTTTTGTTAGTAATATTTGTTCGTTAAGTCGGATATATTGAGCCAGCAAGGATGTAAANGAAATTTTCGACGAAAGGTGCTTAAGCTTTAAAGTGGGTGAATAAATTCGTGCTTCTCACACACAGTAACATCCATACATACAGAAAGAATCCCAGTGGTTTTGTATTTCTCGACGTTTCAAGGTCCCGACCCAAAAAATTTAAAGATATTGGGTGAATAATTTTTTCACCGATCTCCATACTTTTCCTCTGTTATATATAACATAGCCGAGAAAATAAAAACAAGCTTAATTTTGTGAGAACTCGGACTTTTACAAAAATCTTTTCTCGATTTCATCATACATATTTTGACAACTAACGTCATTGTTTATCATCAATCCTTTACTAAATGAGAACTTTGTCAGTTTGCACGCTGTCAGTGGCGACCGCGACGCTTTTCCGTGATACTTTGACCTCCTGGCCACTCTCTACCGTTAATATCGGAACTGACGGCCCAACGAAGCAGTCGCCGCCCATCCCAATGAAGCAGTCGCGCAGAACATGAGGTTGTACCGTACAATAGGCAAACAGACATATATATACAAGGCTCTCTTGGCCAAAGAACACAGGTTTAAGTTAATTTACAGATGGAAAGATGTGTTTGTGACACGATATTCTTGATTTGTATAAGCCTGTTACAAGGTAGTGGTCACCTTCTGTCAAAGTTCGTAAAGACTTCCACGTTTTGAAAAAATTGTTGCTGTTTCTTGAAGATGGTTTCATTCTTCACTAGGTTCGATATCTGTCACGCCCAGTTAAATCCCTGAGTTAGTACCGCATCGATGAAGTTTTGTCTTTGTCTGTCAAATTGCTACAGTCAAAAATCAGGTGTAGGTGTCCTGGACAGTGATTCCGTCTCACGGATATGTGTTGTTGTTTCTAATTTTAAAAAGGTGGAGGTACACGTGAAAGTTATCATGCACTGTCAGAGTTTGGGTAATTGTAAAGCTTGTAAAGCCTCCACCTTAGACGTTCTTTATGTCTGGGATAAAACCAAATGTGGTCCTTCCGGTATGGCCCTTCTCCCAGGCATCCTGCCACTATACATGAGTAATGTCTCTGATCCATTCTCTAATCTTAGATTTTCGTACACTGGTTTAGAACGGACCAAGCGAAGATTTATCAGCTTTCTTTGCTAAATTGTTGACTAGTTCATTCCTGGCACGACCGACTTGCCACAAACCTATCTAAAGGCTACTTCATGGTTATGTGTTCTCCATTAACATTTTCTTGATCTTGGCGTACATGAAGTGATATAGAGAATATTAATATGTATGACGTTAAGTGGTCATTGTCAACTTAAACTTGTCTTATTTGTAGGTTAGGGAATTGTAAAAATGTAGAGGTGTTCGTTAAGTAGAGGTGTCCTTTAATGGCAGTTTCACTGTACGTAATGTTTTTTATTCCTATCTTTTATGAATAAAAAAAACACCCTGAATTCCTAAAATTTTGAGTAATTTATTATTTGTAAATTTTAACGATTCCTAATATAGTAGTTACTTTAAAATGAAATATTTAAGTTAAAGAATTTTATAGTTGAAACAGCAGTGAGTTATAAACTGTTATATTAAATTTTTTTACAACATTAATAATAATAGTTTAATGTTGTAGAAAATAGTTTAATAGTTTAGAAATAGGTTGCCACACGTCATTAAAAGTTAATCTTTCGACACATTTCCTGAATATTTAAGAGAGCGATAAAAAGGCGAAACGGTGCCATCAGCACATTGCTGAAATAAAATTCTGTTACCAGAAACGATGGGACCAGCCATGCTGAAGGATTATTGTTTGACTATCAAACGACAAAGCAACAGTGAATATAAGGGAGTCCGTTTAATGGAACCGTATATTAATTCGACACATTTGCCTGCTTACTACCAACTAAATCTCGCTGACAAAGCATTTTCATGGTTATTCACGAATTCAGTACACTAAATAATTTTGCTCAAGAGGTGAGAAAACGTTTTAACAAATCTAAAAATGTGATATTAANTAATGCTGTAGAAAATAGTTTAATAGTTTAGAAATAGGTTGCCACACGTCATTAAAAGTTAATCTTTCGACATATTTCCTGAATATTTAAGCGAGCGATAAAAAGGCGAAACGGTGCCATCAGCACATTTCTGAAATAAAATTCTGTTACCAGAAACGATGGGACCAGCCACGCTGAAGGATTATTGTTGGACTATCAAGCGACAAAGCAACAGTGAATATAATGGAGTCCGTTTAATGGAACCGTATATTAATTCGACACATTTGCCTGCTTACTACCAACTAAATCTTGCTGACAAAGCCTTTTTATGGTTATTCACGAATTCAATACACTAAATAATTTCGCTCCAGAGGTGAGAAAACGTTTTAACAAATCTAAAAATGTGATATTAATCTAAAAAGTAAATGTAATATTTACTTTTATAAATATCGAACCTTTAATTAAAAATTAAATTTCATAATAAACTTTATTAAATATAAAAGTTCATATACACTTTAGACAATTCCATTTACAAATTTAATTGTCGAATTAATTATAATTCTGATCTGGACGTATACAGACGAATTCTAATATCTATATTTTTCTGTAAAGTATCTTACAACAGTAAAAAATGGCCTCAAAGCTTAAACACCGACTCTACTGAGTGTTAGAAAGCTGATTTGTGTACTGATGTAAAGATAAAATGCTCCACGTGGTGAGGCTCCCTACGACAAATTATCAGTGTTGTTTGGTTTTACACATTCCGCCACTTGAGAAATTAAATTTCCATACGAGAGGGAAACAACAGACTCTGGAAAGTTACACATTAACGAAAGTATAGCTACAATGTGAAATGATAAAGTGATATAAAGTGTAATATTTATGAACAATTTATAATTAAAAATACTGTATTTAAAAATTTTTTATTCTAATAGAGAAAGCCTAGAAAATAGATAATAGTTATTTTAGTTTCTATTGTTTAGCTTATTCGTTTTCCTGTTTGCGGGTAAAACAAGGAAAATAACCGGCACATTATAGCTTACCTGGAAATCAAATTAAAAATCTAAATTACGCAAGCGTTTACAATGACGTAATCATGCGAATCCAAGGGAATACGCGCCCCTAAAAAGACATTAAAAATTCAATTAAGAAAATAACATTCTTGTTTACTTGCAAATTAATAACTTTTTATAATAAATAAATAATATTGTAAATAGTTTATTTATTATAAAATTTGTAATAGAAAAACCAGCCAAAATTTTTCCCAGTAATGGATATTTGCTTCCATGTTGACAATTATGTGTAATTAACGATACCAGGAATAAGTCACGGTTCGTGGGTGCTGCTGCTTATTTAACGTCAAATTCGTTTTTATGCAACATAATATACGTGTACTCATTTCAAAGTATTGGGAAAATAGTAAAAAAATCATAGTAGCTATGGATAGTGATAAATTCGTACATGTATACGAAATGATTTTAATTTCGACTGGGATTTTAGCATCATTTATTTTACTGTATAAACTTTTTCGATTATTACGTTTGTTCGTAATTTTTCCGCTTTCTAAATATTATGCTGTTGATTTGAAAAATTATGGAGAATGGGCCGTTGTGACCGGTGGAAATTCGGGAATTGGAAAATCTTACGCTTTACAACTGGCTCAACGTGGAATGAACGTCCTCATCGTTGGCAGAAATATGGATACTCTTAAACAGACCAAGAAAGAAATCCAAGACAACTACCGAGTTCAATGTGAGTACGTACAAATTGATTTTACTGAAAACGGAAACATTTACACCAAGATAAAGCGACAACTAGAAGACAGGAACGTCGGTATTTTGGTTATTTCTGCTGGTATTAGTGGTAATTTTCCGTGTCATTTTCTCGAAGAAACCCACGAAAACGTAATTGCCATGATACAATTACACATTCGAGCCGTAGTAAGAATGATTGATTTAGTTGTTCCGTCCATGTTAGCAAAACAAAGTGGAGCTGTAGTTATTGTATCGTCCGCATCTTCGAAATATCCCGACCCGGCAGCGAGTCTTTATTCGTCCTGCAAAGCATTTTCAGATCGATTCGGCAGAGCAATTTCTTGGGAATTCAGAAAAGATGACGTTCACGTTCAATGTCTTGTTCCTTATTTCGTCTCGACCAATATGGTAAAATCTGTTGAAAAATACCTTGAACCACTAAGATATTTTATAGTTTCTAGTGATGAATTTAGTAAAAGTGCCGTGAATACCATTGGAATCGACAACTACACAACAGGGCATTGGAAACACGAACTTCTGGGTATATTATTGAGTTTTTCTCGTAACTTCCTTCTTAAATATATTGTTAAAAAGATATTTAAAACAGTACATTTTAAACGATGTAAGAAAAACTAGTAGTGTTGACATTACACTTCTGAAAATCTGTCCATGAACTGTAAGTGTCCAAGAATATTGTATTCAAGTATATTTTTTATATAGATCATTCTTACAAGTAACAGGAATACGAAATATATTTTACGTTTATATGGTTTACATCTGTGTTATGTTCTGTACATCATTATTAATGTTTTAAAATTAATAAATAATAAAGTGTGTTACTATGATTATTAACTTGTCAAAAGTGGAGAATCGATAGTCGCGTTTTTACTGCAACCAATTAGACAGTCGGATTGCACAGGGAAAGACGGTTAAGCGGTTAAAGTTTTAATTTACCCTTCTGTGAGACCGAAAACAAATACTGCTAGAGAAAAACCTAACAGATTATTTCACGAGCCCTTAATCATCCTACCGTCGTCATTATGAATCTCTTTCAATCTATGATGGACTTTTTAAAATAGCCGTTTTAACTCCTTAAGCCTCTTTCAATTTTTGATATGAATGTAATCAAACGTACAAAATACTTAAANAATCTCTTTCAATCTATGATGGACTTTTTAAAATAGCCGTTTTAACTCCTTAAGCCTCTTTCAATTTTTGATATGAATGTAATCAAACGTACAAAATACTTAAAACTGAAAAAACGAAAGAAATGCGTTAATTTTGAATAAAAAGCTTCAAATTTTATTTTTCCTTTGTTTCCCCTTTCTGCGAAATTTAACACCGATGAGTCATTGTTTACACAGCTGGATGACCTTGAGAACAGCTGGAGTCGGATTTCCCGGGGCATTCTCATAGACGTCTCTGGAGGACAAGGTGAATACTAACTAGGCCTATATTTTAAAATATTTTTAAAAAATTAAAAATTCTATTGCGATTTCCGACCCCCCTAATTAATTAAATCTATATAAAATAAAATATATTAATCAAATTATTCTATAATAAAATGAAAATAGCTTACTGCTCTTTAAGTTAATTTTTATTTAAAGTAAATGATTGTAAAACCAAAATTATCTTTACAAGAACAAACAAGTCTGATATTAAATTCTGGTTGATAAGTCTTCTGATATTTCAAACAATCTAGATTAACGATAAACCATTTGAAGTTATTTTATACGCTATAACTTCGTGTTGCACACAGATAAAGAATGGAGTATAGAATAACTTCTCAATTAATTTTTATAGCCTACATTTTATGAGTAAACAACATCATGCTATTTTTTATATGGAAATATCTATACGAAATCCGCTGTTAAACCAGCCAGCCACCTGAGATTAAAATTAATGACAGAGACAATAAAAAAAACCATCCATTTTCTCGAGTGAGTAAATTCGGATATGTCGGATAAATATATTTTTGACGTTAGGTTAAAATTAATTCACGGCATCCGAACAAAATTTTCGTGTTTATTGTACTTAATGTTTGCACCACAAATAAAAATAAATCAGAGATTACTTTTAAAAATACTTTTGAAAACGAATAATTGATCAAATTTAAATGTATTACACATTTTTAACATAATTATTGTGTAATAAATACAGTAATATACACTTAAACAGCGCATTTCGTTACCTGTCATTACATTTATTAATTTCAAACGTTTAATGCCTTCCCTGTTGCTTCGTAATACACAGTTATGCCTCACAGCATCTCATTTCAATTTCAATTTATTTTTAGGCTCGATAATATGTTAATTTGTTGCAGTGTAGCTTCGTAGTAAACAAAAAATGGCGTAAAACGTGCAGGTAAAAGAAGCATAGTGAAATATTTGATCCGGCTGTTAGGGGACGTAGTGTAGCAGCGATCTTTGTCTTGCGATTTGTGGTATCAAGTTAGTTAGCTTTCTTAAAACCAGGGTAACGATCTGTCGCACCCCCCATTGTTATAACAATGTACTGGAGTACCGATTCGTCGTTACCTTGCGAAAAATCGATTTTAATGAAAATTTTTGGCAACAGATGCCACCACTTGACTGTAGTGTGTTGTCTACCATCTGTTTCACATATTTTTGTCCAGGTGGTGTTTTGTCGACTCAGAAATTTTTATTTAGCGATTTATTTTCTTAATTTATATATTCTCTCATTTATTTTATAGCATATTTACGTAATAATATTACTAAAATACGTTCATTCATGCTATAATAAGTTTATTCAGTTATAATAAGTCAATGTATGATAAATATTTAAATTGTGACCTTTAATTTTAATATTTTATAAATTTTTTTATTTTTTATTTTTTAATTTAATTAAAAATATTAGCACAT